GGTGATAGACCTGGGCGAGGCCTTCACCAAGTGAGTGGCGCCGCGCTCCCCGCCTTCCCCCTTTCTGTCGCGACAGACAGCGCCGTGGAGCCAGTGTCGCGGCTGCCGGGCGGGCCTGCCGTCGGGATGAATAATTGTGGGAGGTTTTTTTTCCTTCCTCGCTCCCTTTATATGGTCATCTGCGTGGTACAGAGCCGACAATAACAGTCCTGTTTTTTTAATCTCATGTTTTAGCTGTATAAAAGAAGGGGGGAGCGACTCGAGGTGGAAGGAGGGATGCTGGTTTTTTAGTGCCTGTAATTGCAGACTGGGAGGCAAGCTTCGTTACCTGGAAATCTCTGCATTGTGGTTATGGAGGGGATTTAACAAAACCTTCACAGATGTGAAACACCTGAAACAAATGATTCCACCAGTGGCTTCTTGTATTTGTGTCGTGTTGCCAATCGCAAGCTTTTCCCAAATTTGGGGTGCTTGTGGCATTATTTGTCTGACAAAATGCTCTCATGCAAAAGCACTTCTGCTGTATAGTGTGTTCGCAGGGTCTGTTTCCAACCTTGGCTCTTGTAGAAGAGGTAGCAGCTTAATTATATGAGAGGTATCTGTCCTTTTGCAAATAAAGCTGAAGTTACCCAAAAGCTGCCAGGATGACAAGCAAGGACAACTGTGTGCACACATTGGGGCTGCACGAGTCGTGTTCGGGAGACCAAACTAAAACATGAAGTTCTGAATGATGTCTGTTCTAAGATCTTTTTTTTTTCTGAAATGATCTGAAGAAACGTGTTGCTGGTTGCCAAATACCAAAATCAAGTATTAATGAACCTTTTGTGTTAAAAGTACGCAAAGTCCAGCAGCTTTATAGTTTTCCGCTACCGTTTTCTACCAATGTTTTCTTCTGATGTTTGTACTTAATGGGCATGGCAGTGGTGAAAGAAATGTCGAAGCTTGAATTTCCCTTGTTTTTAATTTGCCTTCTTCAGTCCATGGTTCTTGTGCCCTTTGAGGTGCAATTCCTTTGTGAACACCACATGGGTTTCCAAAGTTTGTTTTGGGGGTGCTACAGGTTTTATTATATTACATCTAAGTTGGGTGCAGAATGTTTTGTTAGGGGTCCTGGAGCAGTAACCAGTCATTTGGAGGCAGTAATGCCTTAAGTCATGCAGGATTCCTGTGAGGGGAATGCATTTCAAAGTATTAAAGTAGCTGGAAACAGGAAAAAGGTGTCAATGGGATGAGTCAGCAGTGAAATGGGCCACAGGACCTGCGTGGTTGTGAGCGTTAAGTCTTTGTCTTTTGTTACTTCTAAATAAATGTCACAGAAAATGAGGATTTAAAGGGAAGATGATGGCTTAATCTTGCCTTTGTTTACTGAGAGCTTCAGTCGTGGAGGACAGAGGAGGCTGTTTCTTTGGAAATGAATTTGGCAGTGAGGAAGGTTGCAGGTGGATAGCTCTAAACAGAAGACTTGGTGGAAGGCAGGAGACACATGAGACTTGAGCATTACAGTCCTTAGAGAGTGGAAAAAAACCTTGTTTAACGCAGCTGAGTGGGAGCGAATAAAAAGACAAAAAATGTCTCTCACTAGAAATGGCTGCGTAGAAAAGCTCTGTGCAAAACACCTCTTGGCAGCCACAGAAGTATCCCTAATTAATTACTCTGATATTTCCTAGTCCCAGTGTGTTAAATAGTGACTTCAAATGATAAGATTTCCAATGTTTTCTTTCAGGTGTGGTTTTGCAGGAGAGACAGGACCAAGATGCATTATTCCCAGTGAAATTAAGAAACCCGATGTCGCAAAGGTAAACTATTTCACCTGGGCTGTTTTACCTTTACAGTGTTCAGTGTTTGATGGCATAGAAAGAATTTGCAGGTGTGATTTCTGTCCATCATAATCTGGTTTTCATTATCTTGTCACTGCTGCTATTAGAAGATTGTAACTAGATACAAGTAAGCGTGCTGCCAACAGTGATGTTAAGTGGCACCCATCACCCATACAGCTTGTGTTTGGGGCATTTATCGAGAAATTCGGTGCCTAGGTGTGTGGCTTGGTTGTTGTTTGGTTGGTTTTTTTTAGTAGAGGATGGCAGCTTTGGAAAACTACTGCTGAGATAAGTTACCAGTATGGAAAATTAGCATTAACAAACTCTGGAGTTTAGTTACAGGGTGAATTTGAGATGCATTGTTAAGGACATAGAGCAAATCAGTCAAGAGTGAGTGTTTCTTTATGTGTGTCACATTATATATGTTCAGATACAATATGTTATTGTGTGTGTGTATATATTTCTTTATATATAATTACTGCCTAGCATTTAAGCTAACTGTGGATGTTTTTACTTTGCAGCCTGTCAAAGTTGTTCAGTATAATATTAATACAGAACAGCTATATTCGTATCTGAAGGAGTTTATCCATATGCTGTATTTCAGGTAAGAGATGCTTGCGTGTTGGCTGTTCAAGCCTTCTGTGGCTCTTTTCCACATGCATTTTGTTGTTAGAAGTATGCCTGGAGATGGCCGTCTAGTTGAGTAAGACAACAGAAGCAGGGTTTTGCAGGTGGCTGGCTGGCTGTGTTCTTGCAGGAGAAAACAAAAATTAGTAAGAAAAGTATTTGACAAGTTGCCTATTAACTGCAGCACTCGTAAAGAATTCAATGGGGAAAGTGATCACCGAAGGAGTTGTACTGATTCTGGCAGAGCTGAAGCTCATCTTCTATCAGTGCAGAACTCCCTCCACCGTAGTTTGGAAAGAGGAATCTTAACCTGTGGAATATTTTAACCTCAGTAATACACCTTTTTACTGTATTTTCAGTACAATTAGTGGATGGTGAGGTTGGACTTAGTCTTTTCTCTTTACTTCCAATCCTTATTTTTACATAGTAAAACTCATCACTTGACACAGGGGAACAAGTGCTCATTTCTGTGCCTCGGATCTTCTCATGTGGGCTATTGCTGTTTTTCCTACCCGTCGTTGCTGTGTAATTGAGATCAGGACATCTGTGTTGTCACTCTTCCTCTTTTATGGACACACTGTTAAAAAAAAAAAAAAAGCCACTAATGGCTGTTATGGCTGCCTATTTTTGCATTTCTTTATATTGATTTAGAAATGTATGACACATATTCAGAACTGCAGCCCTTTAGGGAAGTGTTGGGTTTTTTGGATTAGGGAAAAAGACGTTGGGATCTGCTGTAGAAAATGCTATCTGGATGCAGATTTTTCGGATTTTTGATAACAGAGTATGTATAAATAAGGTTGGTCTTATAACACATGCTTGAAGTTACTGGTTTTGGTTTCCATATCTTGCCTTTTTTAGACATCTGTTGGTGAATCCCAGAGACCGCCGTGTTGTGATTATAGAATCTGTCTTGTGCCCTTCACACTTCAGAGATACACTCACAAGGGTCCTTTTCAAGCATTTTGAGGTACGTGTTTTACGACATTACTGTATGTGCTCAGCGTAGTGCTTGCCAGTAGAAATTTTACTTAATCACTGTCAGCTGACGACAAAGAGATGAAAATAATGCTGAAAGAATGAGAGAGAGAGGCAGAAAGAAGATGAAAAAAAGCTGATGGTCTAGGAAGGTAAGGTTTGGAGATCGGACTAAAGGCCATTTTTGTTCCATTGCAACTTCATGGAGCCACAAAACAGGAGCTGTTAACAGGAATCTGAAAGGTTGCTCTGGTTTATGCCATAACACAGCTCACACTGCACTGTTCTAGACAGAGTCAATAATCCTCATTGAGCACCGCCTGAAGCAGAATTTATATTTCAGCGCTTGTTAGTGCTCTGTCAGCAAATCTCATGACTTCTACCAGAGTCAATACCTTTGCCTCGCACGTGATCTGCCATCTCGCTGTGCTCATTTAGATAAGCGCTTACCTGAAGTGTCTTGTGTTCTCTACTTAACTGGTGTTTTTGAAGGAAAGTCTGGACCTAATTCTTGCTTAGTTCTAACAGGAAATGTTTTGGAAGGTGAAGCCATACCGACAACAGACAACAAAGGTTAAGGCTCTTCTGTAAAAAGGGATGAATCAAGTTTGTCTGCAGTACTTCGCTGTGCTTCCCCAACACAGTTTATCAACTAATTGTAAACTACTGCATAATTCTTCCCTACTATTAATCAGATTTTCTGATGACTTGATATTGCTGAAAGATTTGGGTGAATTGGGTTGGATTTTTTTTTTTTTTCCATAACCCCCTTACAGGAAAAAAATAATATCTCAGATACAGCACTCTCCTGAAACATTGGTTGATGAAAATGACTTGTGTCTTGGGAAGTTGTATTTTGATAGAGAGACTTTGTAACTGGTCAAGAAGCCAGCTAATGCTGATGTGAGGTTAATTCTCTCTGCCTGGTGTTTCCATTTGATGCAAAGAATAAAGAGCAGCACATGAATACAGGGTCAATTTTACAACTTGTGTCTCTGGGCCAAGTATCAGTAATGTCCTTAAATGCAGGACTTCCTGAAATGGCACATTTAATTCACACCTAAAGGTATTCCACTAGAGGAACTGTCACTGCGGAGGAAAGTTGGTTTGTGGTATTGTGGGAGAAGGAAGCGATTCTCATGGAATTTTGACTGGAGCTTCCACATTGCTTTGGGGAGTGTGTTTTAAACAGCCTCTGCTGTGAGGTTGTGTGCAACGCTGTGCTGTCGTAATGGGTTTTCTGGCACCTTGGTTCACATCTCCAAGTCTTCATGCAACATTGCAAGTAGCTGTGTTTTAGTTTCGTTCATTTCTTCTCAGTAACAATGACACTGAAAACCCTGATCTTTGACTTAAGGTGACTTCTGTAGTTAACACTTGCTTTTCGTACAAGCCCATTCCACAATTCGTTATTACTGAAGTAACTGGTGTATGCCACAAACAGATGAAGGTAGAATTTAGAATCGCGTTGTATTTTGTTCATTATTGCACTACCTTAAGAACTAAATTAAAAATGGATACCTCAAGATACGGTTGTTTGCGTTTTGCTTTTAATATGACAGGGAAAAGCATCAATGCTTTGGGTGGCTTTTCTTCCCCTCTCTTCTGACAGTTGTCCTTTTGGTTTCCCTGTAGGTGCCTTCAGTTTTGTTTGCTCCAAGTCATCTGATGGCTCTGCTGACACTTGGGATCAATTCTGCCATGGTGCTCGACTGTGGATATGCAGAAAGCTTGGTGCTGCCTGTATCCTTTAATAATACACAAACCAGAACTTTCAGCAGTAATGCTGTCATGACCAGGTCATATTTTTATAGACTTAAAGTCTGTTAAAAAATAACAGGAACAGATCAGCCAGTCTGGCTTTCGACTAGAAGATACCATGACTTGGGAAATCTCTTCACAGCTGACAGGCTAAATTGGTTCATGATGCCAGCCTTTATATACTAGAAGTTGGTTTTGGAGAAAAGCAGTTAGGAAGTGCTTCCAATATCTAGTGCAAGAGAATGTTGAAGGGGAAAAGCATTTAGTTCCAGCAGACTGAAAACTCATAAGAAAAAAGGAGAATTTCCTCATCTTCCTGTAGATATATGAGGGAATTCCCATTCTGAGCTGCTGGGGTTCTCTTCCTCTGGGAGGAAAGGCCATCCACAAGTAAGTTCACAGTTATTCCGGGTTACTGGTGATTTATTTGTGAAAGTTCATCTTTCAGTAATGCCCAAAGATCCCCATTGAACATGGCTTAAATTGTAACTGTTGCTGCGGCTGCATCCGATTTTTAGTTACCACTGCTTGGCTTCTGTTGATGTAAAAAGTGTGGAAATCAGATCTGCTTCAGTTTAAATTTAGAAGAATGTAATGGAAGGGAATAAATCCTGTCCCTGAAGCATAAGACAGAGAATCAGCCTGAGTTAATAGCTCTCTTTAAGTGACTTCATGTGCCGTGTTTTAGGGAGCTGGAATATCAGCTGCTGGAGCAGTGCACGGTTGATACAGGACTAGCCAAAGGACAAAGCCTTCCATCCGTGATGGGTAAGGTCTGTTTGATGTAGCGTATGTGCTGTGAACTTGCACTGGGGAAAGTGGATTAGTACCAACAGTGAATAAAATGAGTTTGGTATTGACTGTATCTCATGCTATCTACTTCCATGATTTCTGTCTCGGTATTGAACAAGTATATTGTTTTTAAGATAAGCCACTCATAACAGCAGGTTCGAATGAAGGCTGACATAAGAGTTCTGTGATATTTTTTCAGTCTGGTTTGAGAGAAGACAAACTTGGTTTTTTTTCTGTTCTTAATATTCTTTCTTCCTTAGAAATTTTCGAAAGCCGCTGTCTAAGTGAAGCTTTAATGTGCTCAATGTAATCCAAACTTAGTTTTATTTTTAAATTCTCTTTCTACCTAAAAGGCTTTTGTTCTAAATTGTTTTTTTTTATTTCAGGCTCAGTTCCAGAAGACATAGTAGAGGATATAAAAGGTAAGATTTTCTTCTTCCTGAAGCTCTAGTTCATTTAATTGTGCAGTACAGTATGATGATAACGAGCGTGCAATACTTCACATTTAGGAATTTCTTTTATCTTTGTGTTTATCATATTCTTTTGCCTACTGGATGAACTTGCAGTGTTCTTGCTCTCTGAAAGCAAAACCAGAACCACGTTGAATTCCTCTTTCAGGTGTAGCCTTTGTGTCGAGTTGTAGCTCGTAGATAGGTTTGGTAAGCTAACGCAGTAAGAGAACCACACTTGTGGTCAGCAGGTCGGGTCATCTTGGTACTGTGGTTTTTAACGACCAACACTTCGTTTGCTGTGCGTGAGTGTGTACAGTGTGTGCATGTTTGTGTTGCCTGGGAGTTAGCAGACGTAATGTTCAAAACCTGCTATCACAGGTAGGTTTTGGTTGCAGATGCAGCATTTAAGCAGTCTTACCATCATAGGAATATTTAAAGTTAGTTTTGTTTATAAATTAACTAGGAAGGATCGGTTTGCCTTAAAGTCAGCTTTGCAGGGAGAGGACAAGTATGTATAAAAGACATTTTGGTGTGTTAATATTTGAGACCGCATCTGGAATATTGCGTCCAGTTCTGGTCCCTCAGTTCAAGAAGGACAGGAACTGCTGGAGAGAGTCCAGCGTAGGGCTACAAAGATGATCAAGGGAGTGGAGCATCTCCCTTATGAGGAGCGGCTGAGGGAGCTGGGGCTCTTTAGTTTGCAGAAGAGGAGACTGAGGGGTGACCTCATTCATGGTTATAAATATTTAAAGGGTGAGTGTCACGAGGATGGAGCCAGGCTCTTCTCGGTGACAAACAATGATAGGACAAGGGGTAACGGACACAAACTGGAACACAGGAGGTTCCACTGAAATTGGAGAAGAAACTTCTTCTCAGTGAGGGTGACAGAGCCCTGGCCCAGGCTGCCCAGAGAGGTTGTGGAGTCTCCTTCTCTGCAGACATTCAAAACCCGCCTGGACGCCTTCCTGTGTAACCTCATCTGGGTGTTCCTGCTCCGGCAGGGGGATTGGACTGGATGAGCTTTGGAGGTCCCTTCCAATCCTTAACGTTCTGGGATTCTGTGTGATTCTGTGTAATTAGGTAGGCAGGATGAGTCAAGGACTACATTTACACCAGGTATAAAAGTATGTATTTGGGCAGAACTTGGATGTATTCCTGTGTAATGTTTCCTGTGCAGCAGGTATAAAAATATGTATAATTGTAGGAAGTAGCAACTGGTATGTATCCCTTGGGCCGAATTAGGAAGAAATCCATCAGTCAAAGGCAAAATAACAAAAATGCAGCTGGTGCTCTGTCAAATGGGAGTTGCTTTTCTGATTCCTGGACTTGAACACAATTTTCTGATCGGTTCTGGGTTTTATGCAGTCTTCTGGACCCAGATATGATGCGTTAGGGTTGGGATTATGACTGCCTGTGTATCGAAGGGTTGTTTCTTGGTGACAGCCTTTGTGAAGAGAACACTTCTTTATTGGGATCTGGCACAAGTAGCACTGACAGCTGGAATACAAATGAAATTGTGCTCTGTCAGTGTTGCCCAGAGCAAAAAAAAAACCTCTGGAGTTCTTAGGGTGCACTGGGATAAAATATTGCATGATTATAGCTTGTTTAAAAAATGGGCAATGTCTCATTTGAAGCCGTGGTGCCAGCCCTGCAGTGCTGTGTTTGACAGCTGAACACAACCCCTGCCTCCCTGTGGTAACCCCAGGCACGATTAATAATGGCCCTCTGTCTGTAGATCTTAATGCGGCTTGTCAGAGAAAAGTGATAGCATCTGAACTCTGCTGAAGTGTAGAGTTGCATTTCTTTGCATTTATTTCACAGAATCACAGAATGGCTCGGTTGGAAAAGCCCTCTGAGATCATCACGTCCAACCGTTCCTGTCTACCCCCTAAACCATATCCTTAAGTACCTCATCTACCCGCTCTTTAAACACATCCAGGGATGGGGACTCCACCACCTCCCTGGGCAGCCTGTGCCAGCTTCTGACGACCCTCTCAGTAAAGAACTTCCTCCTTATCTCTGACCTGAACCTCCCTTGGCACAGCTTGGTGCCGTTTCCCCTTGTTCTATCCCCCATCACCTGGGAGAAGAGCCCAGCACCCACCTCTCTCCAAGCTCCCTTGAGGCAGTTGGAGGTGGTGCTGAGGTCTCCCCTCAGCCTTCTCTTCTCCAGGCTAAACAACCCCAGTTGTTTTATATATTTGATATATATATATTTGATAATATCTTGGGTCATCCAGGGCCTAAAGTGTGTGTTCTTCTCTAAATTAAGCAAAATTATTGTCTGTATCGGTAATGAAAGGATCCAACAACGTCTCTCTTTTGCCTCTTCCTTTTCTTTTCTGAAGTCCGTACTTGTTTTGTGAGTGATCTCCAACGTGGCCTGAAAATCCAAGCAGCCAAGTTCAACATTGATGGCAGTGCTGAGGTGGGTGGAGCATGGAGCTTATCCTAGTCTTTTGAAGTGGTTGTAGCCCTGTTGGCCTCTAAAATAATGCACTTATGTTTTGTTTCTAGCGTCCCTCACCACCTCCAGATGTGGACTATCCTTTAGATGGAGAAAAGATTCTCCATGTAGCTGGCCCTATCAGGTGAGAAATACCATAGTTGAATATTTCTCTCTAGGAGGACACATTTTCAACTCTAAAAGCACATACACTGAATTTTAATGAAACACTTGTGTATGCTTTTTAAGTCTCTTAAATTAAGGCTTTGTGCTGGGCCCAGTGCAAGCC